GATAAAAATTATATAATAATTGCAACTAATTACTATATCTCGATTGTAAACCGACAGTTTAGCTTTGGGACTCGTTCTGGGCACCGACTCTCTCCTAAACAGGGGTAATGATCTTTTCCCGTACCGTAGCACCGTATTCGCAAAACAACAAAACACGTGGTTGCCTTCCACTGAGTTCATTCTGATTTGGTAGGTGTAAACAATGCCGATCTTTTGGAGGGGGTAAGCCAAAATGCCCACTTTTTGTCAAAAAATTTTGGTAGGACCAGCACAAAACGACAACGAGAGAAAGACCTCTTGATACCACTTAAAGGAAAGTAAGTTACTAGAAACAACAGAAATAGTCTTCCTTTCAGCCAGAACTGTGCTACTTATATTTTTTCGGTAAGTGATAAACTCTGAACTTGTCAGCAGATAGCATATGAGAACTATCTCTAAACGACAAGTGCCGGGTTTGTAGTGAGTGATAAACTCTAAGCCTGTCAGCAGGTAGTGTATGAGAACTACCTCTAAATGACAGGTGCTGACTTACTGTCTCTCTTTTCACGTCTTATGTAGTTTGGCTAGTTAGTTTCTACTATTTTTGTTGAAAAGTTTTTTTGGCAAAATTTGGTTCAAGTAATTGTCAAATATTCAATACTATTAATAACATCAAAAAAAAGTAAAACAATAGTACCAAAATAAAAGGTTCAAAAAAAAATCAAAATGACTACTTAGCAATAATTCCAATAGTGCTAACTTCAATTGTAACAACTTCAATAACAGTAACTCAAAAAAGATACTAAAAAATAGAAGCAAAATACAATAATATACAGAAAGCAAATAAAAAAAAAGAAAAAAATAAAGCTATGAAAAGCATAAACCAAAAATGATAGTAATTCCAAAAGAGCAATTTCCAAGCAAATAACTCTAAAGGATAACTTCAAAAACAATATAAAATTTGTGTTGTAAAAAAAAAAATTAAAAGAAAATAATAAAAATTATAAGTATAAACAAAAAAAAAAATAAAGTGAATACTTATTTACTCAAATCAAAAACAAAAAAAAAAAAAAAAAAAAACAAAAAAGAAACCAAAAATAAATATTTATTTACTCACAGAATAAATATTTTTGTGTGTGTCAATGTACAGAAATTATGATTGTTAGGAATCTTAATGATCATCACATTAGTATATGATTATGCACAAAAATTATGATCATTAAGAATTTTAATAATTGTGATGATTATAATATTAATACACTAAAATTATAATCATTAAGAATATTATAAATCATAATTTTAGTGCACTGATATTATAATTATCACAATCATTAAGATTCTTAATGATTATAATTTTGTACACTGATATGCACAATTGTTAAGATTCTTGACTTCTATGCACTAACATGCACAATTATTAAGATTCTTAATGATTGTGCATGTTAGTGCACAGAAATTATATGATTATTAAGATTAATATATATCAATATATAGATATAATACTATGCATAATAGTGTATGAATTTCAGTTTCTATACAGTGATTATAAAACCCATGCTTACCTGTATACAATTTCATATTTCTGTTGATAACCAGTTTGTTGGTTTAATTTTATTAAACTATTAATATAAAAAATTAACTTTAACCCACTAATAATATACTCTGATACAAGCATTTAAAGAAATTTAGCTATTTCATGTAAATATTTAATATATGTAACAAATATTCAACTAAAATAACTGAAAAAAATTTATATAAATATATTACACAATTTAGATAGTATTTTTCTGAAATTTGTACCAAGTAGATCTATTTAAAAATGAAATCTGAAGAATTATTTGTTCAATTCTTATAATATCTGGATAATAATCAATAAATACTCAGATATAGTTAGGCCTCCGCATGGGCCTGGTATACCCATGGGTACCTATGGATAAGCCCTACAAGAGCTGGACTAGGGTATTGATTTTAAACCCTACGGTAAGGGTAAGGGCTTGGAATTTTAAGCCCTTACAATAATAGGTAGAGCTAGAGTAATATATACACTACCCTTGGGCTTATGGGTACCTGTTACTTTTGATATGTTCAATAGAATTATGACACATGATTATCATTTACATCTATATAAGGCGATCAATCAACATCTTTTTTTCTTATGTTCTAAAATTTTTAACAGCTTATTGCATACTAATGCTAATTACTAAGGTGCTGAATTGCTAGTGCATAACTTACTAGTGCCTTTCTTCTTAAATGCTCTTTTATTAGAGCTCTCTTTATGAAATTTTTTTAAAAAAAAACCAAAAATATAGAAAAAAAAAACTAAATAAATTACCCACACTTAAGCCAAGTACTAAATTACCTGCCAAGCATAAAAGCTATAGTAAGTTTGCATAGTTGTGTTGTAAATTTCTATTTAATAAAATATTTAAAAACTTACACTATATTAACAGTAAAATAAGCTTGTTAAGCTAAATAATTTTATGGAGTATGATTTTGATAACACTAATAAAATAGAAAACTCTAATGAGTTTGTCTCAACATCTCTTGTACATAACAATGAAACTACAATTAGCAAGAGTGTAAATAAAATCCCCAATAGAGTATCTAGTGAAATTGCTGATAAAACCACTATCAATGAAACTTCCACATCATCAAAACATATATCTGCTATTTGGAAACATTTTATCTTATTAACAGATAAGCAAAAAGCTAAATATAAACATTGTAATAGTTTATTTAGTCACAAAAAAGGGTGTGGTACATCTTATTTATGGCACCATCTTGGTGTTTGTTTAAAATTTCAAAATTTATCAAATGGTCAAATACAATTAAAATTTAACTCTCCAAAAAAAGGACCATATACAAATGATTTGGCCCAAAAAGACATAAGTAATATTATTGTCTGGGATGAATTAAGTTTTCAATTTGTAGAAGGTCAAGGCTTTTGTAAGCTTATTAATGGGTTGTTAGTATTAGTGCCGATATGATTAAATGAGATATCATGAAAGCTTATGATAAGAGAAAAACTTTAATCAAAGAAATTTTTCAAAATGCTAAAGGCAAAATTTCTCTAACTTGTGATGCTTGGACGTCACTTCAACAACTTGGATACTTATCAGTTACCATGCATTTTTTTGATAAGGGTTGGAACCTTGTGTCTATTTTATTATCATTTCTATTAATCCTCTATCAATACACTGGTGTTAATATCGCCAACTGTATTAAAACTGAAATAGATGAATGATTTATTACTACTAAGGTAATTTATATATGTTAAGCTGTTAATTAATTTTAGATATATAAAATATAGGTTTAAGAAAATATAGTTAAATAATATTTTATGATTTTATTATTATAGTTACAAACTATTACTCTAGATAATGCTACTTCGAATGATGTTGCAATTCGCAAATTAGCCAATTGTATCTCACAAGACTCATTTATAAATATCAATGAAGATCTCTTTTATAACTGCTGTTTTGCCTATATTCTAAATCTTATAGTTAAGGATAGGTTAAGAAAAATTTTAGATATTATTGGAAAGGTAAATAAATTAAATAGTAGTTGAAGTGTATTATTTAATATTTACTAATAATTAATACAGTATATTAAAATTTATTAGGTTCGTAATTGCGTTAAAACAATATATACAGCACCAAGGCGGCACCAAATATTTCTGGATATTTGTGAATCAGAATCTGTGAAATATATAATCCCTCCATTGAACTGTGATACTTGATAGAACTCAACGTTTCTAATGTTGCAATTAGTTTTAGAAGTCACAAATGTAATTACTAGAATGAAAGACAGGAATAGGACATTTTCCAACATACTTAATAAAAAAGAGTTGAAAATGCTGAATTTATTTGTTGTATTCTAAAGCCATTTTATGATTGTATATATTATAAGAATTTAATATTGTATAGTAGTTAAAAGTTTATATAATTAGACTAATTAAAATATATATTAATAAAATAGATACTTTAAAAGTATCTGCAAGTTTATATCTGACCCTCAATAGTACTCTTGCCTCAATTTGGAATATTCGTACCCATCTTTTGAATATGAAGTCTCATTCAGATAGTTTTGTTCATAATGTCAGCCAAGCTATGATTGGAAATTTTAATAAATATTGGGAGCATAACAACATCTTATATATGACTGCATGTATTCTTGACCCTCGTTATAAAATATAATTTATTTTATATTATTATCACGAAAAAGAACAACTAGAATTATAAGATCTTGATAAAAAAATACAAGATATTCGAGAAAAGTATATGTTTATTAATATTTATTTAATTTTTATTTTGTTTTATTTTATTTAATTTTTTTTGTTAAATTTTTTTAATATTAAGATTTGAAGATATATATCTTCATGCATATTACTTATCACTAGCTATTGATTAAGAGATGATCGATACTAAAAATAATATATCAATATTTGAAAATCACACAGATAATTTTTTTGAATATGTAGCAAGGCAAACTCAGATTACTGAAAAAGATCTGCTTTGTGAAGTAAAGTGGTATTTGGGTGAGCTGATATCTTCAAAAACCACCAATGTACTTGAATAGTGGAAAAATAAGAGTCGGTTTCCTAATTTGTTAGCAATAGCTAGAGACTTTCTTGCTATACCTGCAACAAGCATTATATCTGAACAGATGTTTAGTTGTGCAGGTTGTATTATTGATAATAGCTGTGCTTCGTTGAATGCAAATATGATAGCTGTATTAATGTGTCAAAGAAATTGGTTAGATACAGCTAAAAAGTTTGGTTGAAAGCTATAAATTTTCAAGAATCAATAAAGCGTTATCCTTTTTTTTTTTGATCTTATAAAGATTTTTTTTTTTGATCTTATAATAGTTTTTTTTTTTTAATCTTAAAAAAATTTTTTTTTTTTGATTTTATATAGAATTTTTTTTGTTAGATTATGCAAAATCAATAAAATCAATTTAGTTTAGCTTGGCGAATTTTAAAAAAATATAGAAGGTAAATCTTTAATAATATCAAATACTTCCCAGTTATTAAATATTATAACAGAATCAAATACAAGTTATTCTTTACAACAAAGTGATTCATTCTATTATCAAAACCTGCTATTCAATTCTTATATAAATTAGCTCTTCTTATTAACTATTTGGGTTTTGGGCATGCCACCATGGTGTGCCTATGACTTTGTGCTACTTACTCTACTTATAATATAAATTTGTGTAATAAGAATTTTGTAAATTATGCAATAAATAAAGAAAATTTTATATTAACTAGTTTGATCAAGATTTTAATTAGTGTTTATTATATTAGGGCTTCTGTTTTGACTAAAGAAATAAGAGATTCAGATATTTAATTCTAATTTTAAAAAAAATTTACATTTAAATTTGGGTTAAATTCAAGTTTAAATTCAATTTTTTTAAAATTCAGGTCCAATTTTTGTTATAGTTTTTTATTTTTTTAAAAAAAAAATTTAAAGCTTCATTTTGGTGAGTTACTTTTAAAGTTAAATATTGTAAGAAAATTACTCATTATTTTTTTTTGAGTTAAATTTATATGTTCAAATATTTGAGTCCACTGAGTGAAAACCTGCTATCGGGCTTTCAATATATTCTGTACTGAACATAATCTATTTAATTTATTAGAGAATATGCCTGGTACAAAACATAATTGAAAACCCAATGCAGATTTTCTTTTGGTGGCACTCATGGATAAAGCCCACGGGTAGTTCAGAGGGTATTTGTAACTTAACAGGCTGGGTAAAGATACTGAAATTTGAGCCTAAAGATGGAGGCAGGATCTGAAAAATTAGGCCCTTATATATATAGGTAGGGCTCAGGTATACTGATATTTGGCCCAACCTGGCCCATGCAGAGGCCTAAATATAGTCAGATACAAAAATATTTGCACCTCAAATGTAAAAATTAATTTTATCTATATATAAAGATTTTTAATTTTAATTACTATATTTATTTGTGATTTTTTTATATCAAATAAAACAGGTTCTAAGCTATCTTTTGATATATTTTTTATTTCTTTTTATAAAAATTTTTGTTGAAAAATTGATTTTTATATAAATTCAAACTTTTTTTAAAAAAAGTATACATTTTGCCAGTGATAGCATGTTATTTAAAAATAAATGACACCTTGTCATATGACAAGTCATTTTTGTTATAAAAAAATTATTTATTTTTTTTATGACTTTACTTGTTATCTATGCTTTATATAATTTTTATTAATCAATAAGATAAATATGCTATATATAATTTATTTAACTTTGTCAATACATCTTTAAAAAACAATTCACTACAATTTTTTAAAGCTAACCTTAATAATATATAATGTCAGAACAGATATTAAAAATAGAGATATTTCACACCTTATTCATTCATAATAATCTGGATAATTTAGAAATGATCTTGGTAGATGATAATTATATAGACTAACACAAGTTGATATCATAATTAATTGAAGCAATTTCTACTATAATTTTGCTGAAGTCTAAGACAAGAAAGAGGGCTTCAACCCTTTTTTTATCACAATAATGAACCTACTTATTAGAAAAATCTTAAATCATATGAATAAAAAATTTTTTTTTTGGTTCAAATTCAGCAATCATGCCACAACTTTATTAGGCTTTGTAATAATCATTTAGACTATTAAAATTTTAGAGAGACTTGTTAGTAAGTGATAAACTCTGAACATGTCGGCAGATAGCATATAAGAACTATCTCTAAACGACATATGCTGCACCCGAGGGCCACACAACTATACCTAAATTACAAGTTGTGACTCACCCAGTTACCCCAATTGGCACCTATGTGTGACCTGTTATAGTAGGTTTCTCCTCCATCTGGCCCCTCCTGAAATTAGATATTGGCCGGCTCTCAACAGATGGTACCTACCGCCCGTTATGACTACCTCCCCTTCTTTCAAGCTTCTTCTACCTAAGCCCAACTAAATTATTAACCCTTATTTATACATAAAAGAAAAAATTTAAAGCCATGTTTACGAAAGATTTAAATATCTTAGAAAAAAAAACCTCACGGTAGAAAAAAAAAAACAAACAAAAGAGAAAAAATTCTAAAGTAGTCTAACATAAATTGAACAGAGATGAAAAAAATGAAAAAAGGGAAGATAGCCATGACAGGCACCTTGGTAATAAAAATTATATAATAACTGCAACTAATTATTATATCTCGTTATAAAACGTTC